ACCCGACAGGACCCGACCCGAACCCGACCCAAGGACCCGGATGCCCATGCCTAATTTCAATTTTGTTTTTGTTTTTGGACTTTATTAAACTTTGGCTTCTACACCGTTAAAGTCAGAACCTTTTAGCATCTAAACCGAAGATTTTTGTTACAGATATTAGAGTTTGACAGGAAACCTGATGAAGCAAGTAAGTAAATGGTCTTAGCAAGATATTTGAGGACAAACAGTTGCCAGTAAATAGGATATGTGACCTGTGTAAACCCAATTACAAATCATTCACCCAATTGATTTTTGTACCTTCTTAAGATGTCCACATTATCAACAAGGAGGGGGAAAATTGTGCCAGGTGTCCTCATATATTTCACTTTGTTTCGATTAATATTTTTGCTGGGCTATCACTTTCTTAGGTCCAATTGTTATTAGGTTTGGTTAACCCACTAACAACTTCTTTGTAAGTCTTCAGATTTTGGCAAGCAGATCCATCTATCCCAACATTAGTGTCGATTCTACCACTTCTCCCACTCTTTCACATTACTTCGACCTCATCAGCCACCAACGTGACCTTCAAGCTCCGTAAATGTGTTCCGTCCCTGGGATGAAGAGCCTCAATTCAACCAAATCCCAAAGGTCACTATTAAGCATCAACTCTGCCAATGGTGAATTCTCTCTCTCTCTCTCTCTCTCTCTAGTTAATTATTTGTAGACATCTCTATCTTTACCTCCATCAATGTCTGCTTCCAAACTCCATCACCTAACATATAACTACAAAGGTAAGTTTTTTTTCTCTATGATTGTTTGATCAAAGCATTCTGTTTTTTTTTTATGGATTATGACAAATGAGTTTGATTGAAAATCAAAGATTTTGTGAAATCATCTCTGTTTTGCCAGGTACACAAAAGCTTGATCATGGTTACTGAAACTTCTTAAGAGTCTTCTCCATCGCTTAGTACAACCCTTGATAAGCGTTTCTGGAGCAATTTTCGTTACATGATAAAAGTTGTTGAAAAAAAAGCTCACAAAGGATTCTTGGAGAATCAGATAGAGTAACGAGATTGAAGAATGATTCAGTGCTTCAAGTTATCTCATGTGTTAGTCATTTTGTTTTTGACTCTTCAAAATGATTTTAGGCGTGTGGTAGAGTTTGCACTTTGTCTTGTTGAAGATTTAATGAAGGTCTTACAAGCTTTCTATATTTGTTTGGTCAGCACATTGTTAATGATGCCATGAAACTCTATATTATACGTAAATATTTAAAACTAGGTAATATTTCGCGCCTTGCGCGGAATGAGATTATTACTTGTGTTACTTTTAAGATAAAATGATATTATATTTGTTTAGCATGAATATTGGTTCAGTTTTACGTTGTTTTTTTTAATCTCCTAAAATATAACTATCATTCTAAATCTATATTTATTTTTATTTTTTAATTTAAATGTTTGATTTTTTTTGATTTTTTTTGATTTTTTCGATGATAACCAAAAACTATTGTTATTTGTTTGCTTTCGTTTTATATAAATTTTAGACATTTTTGATGTCGAACTAATAGTTTCCTACTATAATTTCTAAAGACATGTAAAATCAAATAAAATCTAAATAATATTTGGAAAAATAAAATAAAATTATTAACATAAAACATTTCACTACACTTTGCGCGATAGTGAAAGAAAACATTAAAAAATCCAACTTCAATAAGAATTAAAATTCTCATGTGTTGATCCCGCATGACCCAAGAGATCCCCAATAGGCCCTAACCCAGTCCAGTAATCCTACCAGAAGGAAGCTGTTCGACCATTACCGATTCTGAACCTTAAGCTCGTGTACTGTTTGAGCTGCAACATTCCTCCAACAATGCCCTCGTATTCTCCCGCATTTATTTGATATATAAGATTTGTTACAACTTACATAACCTAAACAAATGAATTAGAGACAGCTTCGTCAACCGTTGTTAAAAATTTATATGTTTTAAAAAAACTTAATGAAAGATACTGACCTTGGAGAAGTTGGAGATGAATTATTACTTTTCTTTCTTCACCATGTCCAGTTCATGTCTTAGGACTACTTGCACAAAATTTATATACAAAATTCAAAAGACTATGGTAAACATGGTAATACTCAGTTTCGAAAAGGAATATATTTTATTTATTGGTTCACACTACAAGAAAACTCGTCCATTACTAGGGCAGGTTTTCCTCGTTAGTTCCTAGTAAATGGCCTTTTACTAGGAACTTACGAGGAAACGCGTTTCGTCGAAACACGTTCATCGTAAAGCCTTTTTCCTCGTAAAGTCGTAGTAACCACTTTCCTCGTAATTTCCTAGTAACCACTGTCCTCGTAATTTCCTAGTAACCACTTTCCTCGTAATTTCCTAGTAACCACTTTCCTCGTAATTTCCTAGTAATGCTTTACTAGGAATTTACTTCGAAATGTTTTTCCACTTTCCTCGTAATTTCCTAGTAATGCTTTACTAGGAATTTACTTTGAAATATTTTTCCCTATTAAAAAAAATAATTAAAATAAATATAAATAATATATTTTTAAAAAATTAAAGAATCCAAATTATAAATAAAAAAGAAATAACAAAATATTTTATAAATAACAAAATATTTAAGTTTTAAATTCATATACAATTAAAGAGAAAAAAAACTAAACTACAGATGTTGCTCGTTAAATTGACGAACGAAGTCGTCATCCCGACTCGACAACTAGTATCATTAATATACTAGTATCATTTTAAAAAAAAAAACAGTTAAAAAAATTAAATCAACCTAATCTAAATTCCCTAAACTAACCACCTAATCTAAATTCCCTAATCTAACCACCTAATCTAAATTCCCTAAACTAACCACCTAATCTAAATTCCCTAATCTAACCACCTAATCTAAATTCTCTAATCTAACCACCTAAGTAGGAAATAGAGAGAACCTTAAGAGAATTCNCCAAATCACAAATTTTTTTAAAAAAACTAAAAGAAGTATACAGTCATCGGAACGGTTTTTATCAACCCCACATAGCTTTCCTCGAACTATCTACCTGAAGAAAAGCCCCAAGATATTTCTTTGAGGAAAAGCTATGAGGAGTTGATAAGAAACTATTATGTTGACTGTGAACTCCTTTCAGTTATGAATTGAGTATTTTATAATTGTTTGGTGTGTTTCAAATGAATCACATATGGTGGTATTTATAGAAATTTTCGAATCTGAGAATTTACTAGGAAATTGCTAGGAAAAGTAGGTACAAATTTTAAATTCGATATTTTCTATCTAGTTCCTCTTAATTTCGTAGTAACAAAACTCATTCCTCTTAATTTCGTAGTAAGCAATTACTAGGACTTTACGAGGAAACTGCTTTACTAGGAAATAGCTATGCCCGCGTTTTTTTCCTCGTAAAGTCCTAGTAATGTTACTACGACTTTACGAGGAAAGTGTTTTCTCGTAAGTATACGAGAACCTTACGAGGAAACATGGTTTCCTCGTAAACTCGAAGTAAACTCGTAGTAATTTTACGAGAAATTATTTTCCTAGTAAAGTTTCCTAGTAAATGCTTAGTTTTCTTGTAGTGTCACCTGATTGAAACTGTCTTCTGCACCGTTAAAGTCGGAGTCTTTTAGCATCTAAACCGAAGATTTTTGTTACAGGTATTAGAGTTTGACAAAGGGAACCTGATGAAGCAAGTAAGTAAATAGTCATAGCAGGATATTTGAGGACAAACAGTTGCCAGTAAATAGGACATGTGACCTGTGTAAAACTAATTACAAATCATTCACTGATAAATATTCAACTCTAAACTGAGATAAATAAGGTAGAATGTGAGAACCATTCAATGATGCACTGAAGGTGATATTCACGCTTGCAAGTTGCAACTTGTAACCTGAAAATGAAAAACCAATCGGAACAAATGAGAAAATTAAGGATCGACCAAAAGAAATAGCACATAGATTATAAAACGATCTAGGACAATAGTTAAAGCAAAATCCAATGATCCTAGATCTGAAGATTTGAAGGCAAAGGGATAAGGAGATGGTAATCCTATAATCCAATATAGAATATTACAGTGGCGCGGTCCTGGAAAGTGAAAGGCTCGAGATAATTTGGGATTTTTGCGCGTCACATCAAATCTGCTTAGCTTGTAGACAGAGCCTTCAGTGAGACGTTCGCACCAACAGATCCTTGCAAACAAAGGTTCTTACATGTCGACACTCATGAGTTCCTAGCCTTTGTTGATGTCAACACTCATGAGTTACCGACCAGCAAGGAGGGCGTATGAAGTCGACATCGTCATAATCGTTTGGAAAAACAAACTATGTTTTTGGATCTCGTTTGAGTTGTGTTGTCCATCTTGGGAAGGTCGTCAGATATTAATACTTGAAGTTTTAGACAGTTACTGTGTGATGCGAGGAAGTCGAGTGAATGCTTTTAATCACAGATTAATGGAAGGTTGAGACGTTACAGAGATTGGAAAAAGCGATTTAGTTTTTGGGATTTTTCGTCGGGGTCTACGAAGGTCGATAGAGTGAAAATGAAGAAAGAAACCTAAAATTCAAGTGGACTTGTCCTAATGTTTAATGTTTTAAAAGACCCAATCATAAGCTGTGTAAATAGCCCAATCTAAATAGAGGATTAAGATAACTGGAAATACACAAATCAATTCTTACGCCGTTAGTTTGGCAATTCAGACGCGGTTGGTTTGGCAATGCGACACGTGATGAAAAACCCTCCTATCTGAAAAGTGATGTGGACGTATAAGAAGACATATAATCCAACTTTATTTATAAAGATTTTAATAAAAATGTACATGACAGAAAGGTGAAAAGTCTCTCGAGTGACCTAGAAAAGAAAATAATAGGGAACCAAACGAGAAATGGGCCGGTAAATTTCAAATGGGTCTATAAAATAAGCCCAAATTAAACAAGATTGAAAACTAAGACACGAAACGAACAAGAGAGACAAGAGAATCCATTCGTGAAGAAAAACTGGTTGGATCGCTGCAAAAGAGAAGAAGAGATGGCGACTGCCACAGTTCTCAGCCGCTTGTCACTGATACCGAAACTATCTTGTAAACCAAAATCGTTTTCAAACAGAAGAACAACAACTCCTACGACTGTTTCTGTCCGAGCACAAGCTTCTTTCTCCGACCCATTCGTGCTTCAGTTAGCTGAATCTCTCGAAGACTCTCTCTCACCTTCTCCTTCTTCCTTAACTCTCCAGAGAATCCGTGATAGTTCCGCTGAGTCCCTCTTATCAACTCCATGGCCATCCCGAAGAGACGAGCCTTTCCGGTTCACCGATACATCCTTCATCCGGTACTCCCAGATCGAACCGGTCTCGACCCAGCAGCGAAACTNCTTCAGTTAGCTGAATCTCTCGAAGACTCTCTCTCACCTTCTCCTTCTTCCTTAACTCTCCAGAGAATCCGTGATAGTTCCGCTGAGTCCCTCTTATCAACTCCATGGCCATCCCGAAGAGACGAGCCTTTCCGGTTCACCGATACATCCTTCATCCGGTACTCCCAGATCGAACCGGTCTCGACCCAGCAGCGAAACTCGGAGATTCTAGACAATCTGACGGAAACCCACTTCCCAAACGCAGTGATTATCGACGGGTTCGTGTCCAATTTGACGATTGGCCCATCGGATTTGCCTGATGGGGTTTACTTCGGGAGCTTCTCGGGTCTACCGGACGAACTCACGAACCGGGTTTCTGAATTAATCGGCGATTTTGATTCTGGTGATCTGTTCTGGTCGATTAACGGCATGGGAGCACCGGATTTGACTGTGATCTATGTTCCAGCTGGATGTAAGGTGGAGAATTCGATTCATCTGAGGTACTTTTCGGGTGAAACCGGTGACCGGGAATCGAAAAGGTTACCGGTATCGAATCCTAGAGTGTTTGTGTTGGTGGAGGAAGGAGGAGAGATTGGAATAGTGGAAGAGTTTTTGGGTAGAGACGAACAAGGGTTTTATTGGACTAATCCTGTTTTGGAAGTTGTTGTCTTAAAGAATGCCAAGGTTAAGCATTCTTACTTGCAGAAAGAGTCTATGGCTGCTGCTCATATCAAGTGGACTTTCGTCCGACAGGTTCTCTTCTTGTCTTATTTGTAACAAACAAGCTTTGTTTAGTTTTGGTAGTAGTAGTAGTAGAATAACTTATTTACTTTTCCCTGGATTGTTGAGGAGAGAAACAGTGGAGTGAAGTACATGTTTTGATATCAATCGAATAGGGAAGTAGGAATCATGGAGTGAGAAAGTTGCAATCTTTATGATTAAAATCTTGTGGAGGATGAATAGTTTTGTTTAGTTTCAGCCTCTCGTGTGAGTTTGTTTCTCTCGTATTCTCTGTGTCGGCTAAAAGTTTTGTAGATTAGCTAAAGTTTTAGGATGCATGGGTATGACTTGACTACGAAACAGGAGTGTTTTTATGCTGCATTGTTGAGGAGAGTGAATAAGTTACATGTGGTTGATCTCTTTGTAGGAGGCAGAGAGTGAATATGAGCTTGTAGAAGTGAGCACAGGCGGGAGATTAGGGAGGCACAATGTTCATGTGCAGCAGCTCGGACCGGATACCCTGACGGAGTTAACGACGTTTCATATGTGTGTCAACGAGCAGACTCTGGACCTCCATAGCAGGATAGTCTTAGACCATCCCCGAGGCTCTTCACGACAGCTCCACAAGTGTATTGTTGCTCACTCCTCCGGTCAAGCTGTTTTCGATGGTAATGTCCGAGTAAACAAGTATGCTCAACAGACGGACGCGGGACAACTAACAAGAAGCCTTCTTTTGAAACCTAGAGCCACCGTTAACATAAAACCGAACCTTCAGATCATTGCAGACGATGTCAAGTGCTCACACGGAGCCGCCATCAGCGACCTTGAAGAAGACCAGCTCTTCTATTTCCAAGCTCGTGGGATCGACTTGGAGACTGCAAGAAGAGCTCTCATTTCGTCTTTTGGATCAGAGGTGATCGAGAAGTTTCCAAATCGGGAAATACGCGACCAAGCTAGGAATCACGTCAAGTCCTTGCTCTGATCGAGTGAAAACTATGATCATCTCAAACCGATCACGTGGTATTCACGTGTTATTCCTGCGATTCATCTATGTCATTACTATGTGAGGCCCATATAATACGGTTTTGGCCCATTTAAGAGAAAACCACAAACAGTTGGCCTCTGTGTGAATGTAACAGCGTGCAGTTTTTTCCGATATTTGGAAAACCGTCATTACAGTTATAACTGCAGTAATAAAAACGGCATGACTTTGAGATTTACTTCTTTGATGAGTAAAAAAACAACACGCTTTTTGTTTAAAATCTGATAAAACAACAAACACTTGAGTTTTATGCCGCCTCTTATTCCTCCATATCTTTAGCCTCCATCGACGTCGGAGACTCTCACCGCCTAGTCTTCCCATTATCTCCGATTCGATAGATTCCGCCGCGCTCATCGGTAGGTGCGAAACTGACATTCTTTATATCTCTATATCTTACCACTCTGCAAGCTTGGGTTCCTGTCAGACCCAAATCTAGGGTTTGTAACTTAGTACGCTAGCTCGATCGTTAGGCTGATTCTTTGTTCTTATGATGAATTCACGGATTGCTGCATTGAAACTAAGAATTGGATTTTTGATATCAACGCAATTGCAGTGAGATGGCGAATAATGATTTGAAGACATGGGTTTCGGACAAGCTGATGGTGCTACTTGGCTATTCTCAATCAGCTGTTGTTAACTATCTCATTGCAGAGGGTAAAATTTTGATGTTTTCGATTTTAATTGTTTTTGAACATCTGTTGTTAACTATCTTTCTTTCTTGCAGCTAAAAAGTCAAAATCACCAACTCAACTTGTGGGAGTGCTGTTGGAATACGGCTTTGCTTCTTCTGGTGATACTCGTTCATTTGCGCAAGAGATTTTTGCTAGAGTTCCTCGTAAAGCTGCTGGTGTGAATGTGAGTTTTTCTAATCTATATTGCTCTTTCTTGTGTTTTCGCTTTTCGAAGTAAATGCGTTTTTTAGTTTCTTTTTTTTTTGTTCTCTCTGAGAAAAGTATAAGCGAAGAAGTTGTGGTTTTCATTGGTTTTCTTGATCTCTTTCGCTCCTCCTGTCTCAGCTCTACCAACAACGGGAAGCAGAGGCAGCTATGTTAGCGAGGAGGCAACAAACATATGCTCTCATAGATGCTGATGATGATGAAGACGAAGATGAAGTGGTTAAGGAGAAAAAACCTTCAGCTTCTGAATCGAGAAAGTCTGATAAGGGCAAGAAAAGGTTTAGAAAGAAAAGTGGGCATTCAGATGACAGTGATGAAGAGGTATAGTTTCTTTTCCTCATTGCTAAATTCCAATTTCTTTCTTTCTTCATTCTAAAGCTGTGAACAACATTGTAGGTGCCTGTTAGAGAGGACAGTAGACACGTTAGAAGGAAGGTTTCTGAAGACGAGGATGATGGTTCTGAGGTATCTCTGATGATCACCGTAGCCTTTTTCTTTAGAAAGCCAGTAACTAGGATATTTTCTACAGATAGGAATGGATAACACCTATGCTAATATAGTTTACTTTGTTCTTGTACCCTTGCCACAGTCAGAAGAGGAAAGAGTGCGCGACCAAAAGGAGAGGGAAGAACTCGAGCAGCATTTAAGAGATCGTGATACTGCACGGACACGAAAGGTATGCCTCAAAATTGCATTCTTGCTATGATTTCTGTTTTCTGCTCCGAATAGGTCATGTAGTTGTAGCCGGCTGTTGTCGACAATTGTGTGCAAGTTCTTAATGAATGAGATTTCTCGTGATTCATAACAGGCAAATCTAGATTCGCTTAAGGAAAATGAATTAAGCAATAGCATACACATTCATATATTATATTAAATCCTTGATAGAATGAGAAACATGTAGCTAGCATGGCTCACTTGTTCTTTTCATCTGTTTAATGATCAGGTAACGGAGCAAAAGTTGTCAAAGAAAGAGCAAGGTACACTCTGTTATAATTTGTGCATGAACCTACATTAACATTTTTACTGTGCATTGTGATTTAGGCATAAGTTTTTTCAACTGGCATTGTGATTTCTTTTTCTTTATTTCAAAACAGAGGAGGCTCGTCGAAGAGCGGACGCTTTGGAGAAGGATGATTTACACGCTTTAAGGTAATGTATCTTTTCTTTCTTTTATGTGTTTTTGATGATTGCTTTTTTGACAGAGATAGAAGGTAATGAAGTATAGTTGCCTAGCATAACGTGTGTCTCGTATGTTTAATCCTGCCATTGTTAATTACCAATTCTGACTCGATCAACCGTTAGCGTTTAATAACCATTGACGTTCTTCCTATTGATACTGACAAAAATGATTTGTGAAGGCTATTTCGTGCTATCCTTATTATTGATATCATTTGTTGGTTCTAATGCAGGAAAGTCTCAAGACAAGAATATTTGAAGAAGAGGGAACAGAAGAAACTGGAAGAACTAAGGTACATAACATGTAAATGGTTGCTCATTTTTGTTCTTATTATTGCGATCTTCCCGTTGATTGGTTTCTACTGTTTCCTCCGTTTCCATAGGGATGAGATAGAAGATGAACAATATCTTTTCACAGGTGAAAAGCTCACCGAAACAGAGCTTCGTGAGTTTAGGTAACTGCTACATCTTTCTTGCATCATTGTTGTTGTTGCCATTGCCAAAATCTATCTGATGCAGTGGGCTTGTTTTGACGAGGAAAATGAAATTTCATTTATGAGTTATTTTTTCTTTTTCTTGCAATTCTAAAAGCTATATGGTGGCATTCATTTTTCACAAGGTATGTTTAGTTTTGGTTAATTGAGCTTCGGTTGATCTGTTTCTCTTTTATAGATACAAGAAAGAGCTTTATGATCTGGTGAAGAAAAGAACTCAAGATGAAGATAATGTAGAGGAGGTAATGTTTGCATCTTGCAGGACTCTTCTCCCTCCCATTTCTATATTTCTAACCCATTTCTTCTTACTCGTACTTCTCGGAGTTCAGTATAGAATTCCAGATGCTTATGATGATCAAGAGGGGGGTGTTGATCAGGAGAAGAGATTTGCTGTTGCTGTGCAACGATACAAGTGAGTTGACAAAGAGCGCTTTTCTGGAGATTGAACGCATTCTAATTGAGCTTGCCATATCTATCTTTAGTATTTTTCAAAACGCTTTGAGAGTTCTTAATCATCCTTTTTGTTTAGGGACCTGGATTCAAGGGAGAAGATGGATCCATTTGCAGAGCAAGATGCTTGGGAGGACCATCAGATTGGTATTTCTGTTTTAACTATATTTCCGTTGACCAGTCTTGTCTTTACTGCCCACTTATTCAAGTGATACTGTTTTCTCTTATGCTGATTTAAATGTTATTTTTATGCAGGAAAAGCAAGACTAAAATTTGGCGCAAAGAACAAAAAAGCCTCAGACGATTATCAGTATGACCTGTTACATATTTGTTGTTTTATTTTTATTTACGTTGGGATTTGTTTGTCTCCTTTGAAAATAGTCTTCGTTAGCTTCCTAAACATGGATTATGCCCATGATCTGTGGATTCTAAGTTTTTGCTTTTTGCAGGTTTGTGTTTGAGGACCAAATAAATTTCATAAAGGAATCTGTGATGGCTGGTGAAAATGTATTACCTATGAATATCTGTTAAACCTGATGAGACCTGGCATATGTTGACTTGTAGCTGACTATTTGTTTTTGCCATGCAGTATGAAGATTATATGCATCCCAAAGCAGCTCAAGATGCGGCTGAAAAAACAGCTTTAGAAGAACTTCAGGTGCTATCTTTTTTCTGTTCTTTCTTCCCATTGACTCTGTTTTATCAAACTCAACCAACCAAATGTTCATTTTAGAATGCAGTTCGGAATAAGTTCAGATTGTCGTTATCATTGAATTAATATCCGTAATTTCATTCAAAAAAGAATTAATATCCGTAACAAAAATAAAACTGACTCTGACATGTTCTTGCATCTGTTTGTTTGTGATTCAGGAGGTCAGAAAAAGCCTGCCAATTTACGGGTATCGTGAGCAGTTGCTTCAGGCCGTGGAAGAGCATCAGGTTATTTTAGCTCTCATGTCTTTGCCGTAGGTTTACATTCTGCGACACTCGGATTTTAAAAGAAAATCTTTACAGTTTTTTGACATCTAATAACAGACTAGAAGCTCATTTTACTAATCCGTATTGAAAGTGAAACAAGATCAATAGAGAACAAAACACTTGTAAACTATAGCAAGCATCAAATTTCAGTGTCGTGTACAACGGAAAATGTAGATTGAATGATTTTTATTATTAAATTGTGCATAACTTTTTTTAGTATTGTTCTGTAGGTTTCCTCTGCTACATGTAACTGAAATTTGAAACCTTCTTTCAACCTCTTTAAATTTATTAGGTTCTTGTCATTGTGGGAGACACTGGTTCAGGAAAGACAACACAAATACCACAATATCTCCATGAAGCTGGTTATACAAAGCGCGGAAAGGTACAAACCTACTCCTTGCCCGGAATTGTAGCATATAGTTAAACACTCATAGTTCCTTCAAAATGAACTGTTAGTGTGAAATTCGTTAATAAATTGGCATGTTAGTCCTTAGTTGACAGCTGTTAGCTTGTTGAGAACGAACTTACTTTGAAGTTGTTCGTTCCTTATAAAAGATGTAGTTTTGTCTATGAAGAAAGACTAAGCCTTTTTCATGACCTTGTGGTTGAGCAGGTTCAAAAGTATTGAGCAGCTAGCAAAGTAGTTCCTTTCTCAAGTAAAGTACCATAATGCTTTGCTATTATGTTTCAGGTTGGTTGTACACAACCCCGAAGAGTTGCAGCTATGAGTGTTGCTGCCCGTGTGGCTCAAGAGATGGGTGTCAAACTTGGACATGAGGTATGTTTTCCCCCTTTTGCTACTTGTAAGTTGATTGTTACACAAGTGTTGGTTCGATCGCAGAATCTAAAAATGTGGTGGTGCTTGTCACAGGTTGGCTATTCCATTCGTTTTGAGGATTGTACTTCAGACAAAACTGTTCTAAAGTATATGACTGATGGAATGCTT